TTCTTGGCAAAGCAACAGAAAAATCTTGGGGGTCAAGTTGGTGATAAAGTATCTACCAAATGGATATTTTATAGCTACGCTTTATAAATTACCAAGGAATGTGCACTGGATATCAGAAAGTCAGAACAAATTTTACAAGACTGTTCCAGAACTACCATGACAACCAAATACAAAAAAACCTCCACCTATCAAAGTAATTCGAGCAGCCCATTCATTCCACAAAAAGTATTAAGGAAAAGTGGGGACTAGGAAATTTATTTTAGACCAAAACTTGGCCTCAAGTTTCTCTTCTGTAAGTGGACACATAGTAGTTTATGCAATTATTGCAAGGATCAAGTAAGATTGTAATTCCCCCCCCAAAAAAAAAAACAAATGCCAAATGTTTTCTTTGATAAAAGGAGGCTGATTTATAGTGGGGTAGGGAGGGGGAGCATGGGAGGAATAGACAAACTCTAGATAGGTCAGAGGGTTGGAGGGGAAGGGAGGGGGCATGGGTTATTAATGATGGTGGAATGTGATGATCATTATTATCCAAAGTACATGTATGAAGATATGAATTGGTGTGAATATCCTGTGTATACAACCAGAGATATGAAAAATTGTGCTCTGTGTGTGTAATAAGAATTGTAATTCATTCTGCTCTCATATATAAATAATTTAAAAAATTTAAATCAAAAAATTACAAAGTATTTATATATATATGTATATATATATGTGTATATATATATATATATATATATATATATATATATATAAAATTATTTGTAGGGAAACACCCTTTACTGAGCAGGCACTCATATACTGGGGGAATTTAAGTTTGAGAGGTTGCAAAATGTAGGGCACGCAATAATCTCCTGACAACATCCATTTTTTAATAGGCAAGTTTTTAAGGCTTCAACAGAGGCAATCAAGAGATAGTCCATTCTCAAATAGTGACACCCACAAGGTATTTTATATGCCTTTGCAACCCAACTTTTATTCTTCCATAATGGATTGTGGTAGTAAAAAATTCCAAGAACCATAATTGTGCAGTGAAAGCCCGTGAGACTGCCCATAAAGGCGGCCCTCTTCTTGTAATGGTCATTTCCTTTGTACACAAAGCATTTTCATTGCTTTCAAAACAGACTTCCTGCTGCAGAATGGCTTAAATGCATGTGCTTAACACAGAAGGAAGAATCTGCTTTTAGGTGTCATTTTTCTGTTAGTTGTTAGTTTTTCTGTCTTGGTCCTTGCTGTCTTGCTTTTTTTTTTACTCATGCCCCAGAGTGTAGAGTAAAGGTTATAGGCAGCAGCTCTAGACAAAGACAAACTTGACCAAATGTACTAATAACTCAGCAAATGTTTGAAACAAATCCAATCACATCTTTCACCCAATAAACACACACTTATTTAAATGAGTTTCATTGGAAGGCTGAGAAGGTTCTGTCTGCTAAGGATAAGGAAAACTGATTCCATATTTAAAGGGGAAAAAAATACGAAGACCTCTGAGCTAGAAAGCATTCTGTCAATCCCCTGCCTCATTAAAGACCAATGAAGATGAAATCATCTCATTGGAGTAAAATGATTAAATAGATTTAATTTCTAATACATGTCAGATAGAACTAAAGCTGTAAAATTCGAATGGACTTAGTGATGCTTTAACAGAAATTTTATCTGGATAATTGTCAGGGGTACTGAGAATCCTGTGGAGACTGTTCCACAGACCAGGAGAAATCATTAAAGTTTCCAATGGGGGAAAAAATGTTTCTTCCAATACAAAAAAAAAAAAGTGAAATTCACATTCCATAATTTGATGTAGGAACAAGATCTTGAATATGCTTTCATTTTTTATTTTCAAAATATGTTTACTTTTATTTTCATCTAATTTCCATGATGATAAAATAGCTTTGCGATAACAATATAAAAGGGAACAGTAGTAAGTAGGGGAAAAGTGTTATTATTTTACAATCCCAACTGCACCAGCAGCAGCTTACAGACTAAGCAAGCAGCATGGCATGCAGTGTGAGCACAGGGAGGCTGAGGAGCTCTCTATGCTGAAAAGAAGAGGACATATTGGTGGAGGGAGGAAGGGAAATCAGATGCCAGGAACCCGGAGAGCTGGGTCAAAGAAGCATGGGGGACCAAGGAAGAGGGAGATAAGATGACTGACGGCTAGAGAGGAAGTTTTAGGGATTAGGAAGCTGTGTTTTGACAGCTGTGTGGTAATCACTGTAACCCTCCCACCTCCTCTGCCATCATCATTTATTCCCCCATGAGAGTACTCTGTTGAATCAAGGGGCCAGTAGCAGATTGCTGCCATGCCCAGAACTGCTGGAGACGTGACAATGTGGGCTCCTCCCAGAGCCTGAGTTGCTCTGGGTTGGTTTTTAGAGAGCACCCCAGAAGTTGGGACACCATCTCCTCCAACATGACCTAGTTGCTTCCAAGGCTTTTAATGACCCTGTGCACCTGGCCAGGTGATAAGAACTGAAGCAAACAGAAAGGAACACCATGTTGGGTGGAATATGGGCCCGTTCTTGGTTCTTTCTATATCCACCAAAGTCTGCCCTGGATCAGAAGTCCCAAGCTCAATACTACAGGGACACTGCTACCTCGATGTTCATAGCAGCACAATTCACAATAGCAAGACTGTGGAACCAACCTAGATGCCCTTCAATAGATGAATGGATAAAAAAAAATGTGGCATTTATACACAAGAGTATTACTCTGCATTAAAAAATGACAAAATCATAGAATTTGCAGGGAAATGGATGGCATTAGAGCAGATTATGCTAAGTGAAACTAGCCAATCCCTAAAAAACAAATGCCAAATGTCTTCTTTGATATAAGGAGAGTAACTAAGAACAGAGTAGGGACGAAGACCATGAGAAGGAGATTAACATTAATAGGGATGAGAGGGGGGAGGGAAAGGGAGAGAGAAGGGAAATTGCATGGAAATGGAAGGAGACCCTCAGGGTTATACAAAATTACATACAAGAGGAAGTGAGGGGAAGGGGGAAAAAAAACAAGGGGGAGAAATGAATTACAGTAGAGGGGGTAGAGAGAGAAGAGGGGAGGGGAGGGGAGGGGAGGGGGGATAGTAGAGGATAGGAAAGGCAGCAGAATACAACAGACACTAGTATGGCAATATGTAAATCAGTGGATGTGTAACCGATGTGATTCTGCAATCTGTATACGGGGTAAAAATGGGAGTTCATAACCCACTTGAATCAAAATGTGAAATATGATATATCAAGATCTATGTAATGTTTTGAACAACCAACAATAAAAAATTTTTTAAAAAAGAAACATATGTAATCAAGAGAAAGTAAAAATGATATTTTACAATGAATTATACAAATTAAAAAAAAAAGAAGTCCCAAGTTCAAATGATTTTAGGACACCAGGCACACCCACAATTGGAAAAAACTACTGAGTATAAGATATAGTTTGAGCATCCCTAACCTGAAAATCCCAATGCTCCAAAACTCAAAACTTCTTGAGTGCAGATATTATGTCACCAGTGAAAAATTCCACACTTTACCTCTGTGATAGGTCACAGTCAAAACATAGGTGCACTAAAAACATTGTACAAAACTATCTTCAGTCTATCTGCATAAGGTGTATATGAAACCTCAATGAATTTCATGTTTAGAAACGGGTTCCGTCCACAAGTATGTGTGTGTATATATACACACACACATATGCAAATATGCATATGCATATATATGCAAATGTTTCAAATTTTTTTTAAAAAATCCAAAATACTTCTGTTCCCAAGCATTTTGGATAAGGGATACTCATCCTATAGTACAGCATGTCAGGGTCTGTTGGAAACTAAAGATTACAGATCCCTCCTTAGAGGCTTTTAGAATCCATAATTAGGAGGAAAAGGTGGCGGACAAGCAAAACATCTGTGTGCAGAATTTAAGATTTTTATTAGTTTTGCCTAAATGTTTGATCACCAACACCACATAAAAATAAATAAATAAAGATATTATGTCCAACTACAACTAAAAAATAAATATTGAAAAAAAATTGCAATCTCAGAAGCATCTGAGAAAACCTGACAGAAATATGGCCTCACATATCCAAGTTAAGTACTCAAAGTTAAGTACTCAAGTGAATGACTGACCCAAGCTTGGCATCCAGGTATTTTAGGCAGAACCTCTTTCTAAAATCATCTTTGCCAGAAATCACCATATAGCATCCAAATAAATTTTAAAATATCATGAATATTTCCTAAAAGAAAAAAAAACTCTGGTGTATTCAAATGAGAAATCTTTTAAAAGATTATCCAGAAACCATATATACACACCATTTTTTTTTTGTACTGGGGATTTAACCCAGGGGTCCTACATCCCCAATCCTATTTATATGTATGTATGTATGTATGTATGTATGTTTTTTTTGAGGCCTCATTAAGTTGCTTAGGATATCACTAAGTTGCTGTGGCTGGCTTTGAACTTGTGATCCTCCTGCCTCAGCCTCTCAAGTAACTGGGAATACTAGAGACGTGCGCCACTGTACCTGGCTACAAATTATTTTTCTTGTGGATCAAATCAAGGTTTTCAGAAGGTTTAATTCACAATGATTATATTCCACTAAAATTTTTCAGAGAACTGGGGAGGGGCAGGCAGTAGAGCAAGAAAGATTATTTCAAAGTCCTGGAAACCATGACAAATTTTCTTTGCAGAGTTTATTGTTAAATATTAGCCTCAAACAGGGCCAAAATCCCAATGGCCCAGAGAAATCTCATAGCAAAGAGGGACAGGAACCAATCTCTTTTCCAGATTCCAGAACCCCTGAAAATAGGAGTTTCATTATACCGTAAGCATTTGATGTCTGGGTACCTAGCCAGGGTACTCCATGAGGGCTTCAACCTGATTTCAGAATTCGAGCAATGCAAATATCGAGGACTTGGAAGCTCCCATTCTGTGTTCAAGTCAGTCTTTTGCAATTAGGTCATTCCCCTGCTCACTATCATTTGCAAAACTAAGAAGGAAAGCAGAAAGACTTACCTGCAGCTGCTGGTCTAATTCTGGAAAGACCAAAGGAATAGGGTCTTCAGGAGGTGTATCATCTAAAACATAAAAATAAAATGATTCTTCACTAGAGAGCCTTTAGCTCTTAAGCTCACCCTACTGGGACCAACCTTGTAGTGCAATAGTTAAACTGTCACTATCTACTGCTTCAGTTATTTTCATCACTTCAGTGGTGACAGAATGTAAGAGAAATTTTGCTCATTTTATGTTCACATAGAAGCATGGGGAGGTTAATTGGACTGACTAAATTTTTAAAGAAAAAATACACACACACACACACACACACACACACACACACACACACACACACAGGATCCTCCAATATCCTGTCTGGTAGCTCTACAATTAATAAGGGCTACTTGTCTTTCAAAATTCCCACATTAGCCAAAACCAAAACATATGATATGCAGGAAAGTGCTTAACAAGGTGTTAATGAGGTGGCCAGAACAACCTCAATGGGGCAGAACACTCCACTGAAAAACAGAAGCATTAGTTGCACTGAAGCGTCGCAAACATTGATGGCCGTGCCCTCTGCTCTCACTACAAACCAGCACCAACAGGCAGCTCACCAGGAACTGGCTCTGGGTTACAGCAGGTAGGGCAGCAAGCCACCCACACACCAGGCAGCCCTCCCCACCTGAGGCAGAATCCACAGACTTGTTTCAGGGCAGCTGGAGCCTAGACAGCTGTGGCAACTGTCCTCAGCTGCCCCATCCTCCTTCTTCAGAAGCACTCACATGGACAGACTGGCAATAGACTAGCTAGATCCAAAAAATGCAGTCTCAGGGCTGGGGTTGTGGCTCAGCGGTAGAGTGCTCACCTGGCCCTGGCAAGGCACTGGGTTCGATCACCAACACCACATAAATAAAGATATTATGTCCAACTACAACTAAAAAAGAAATATTTTTTAAAAAATGCAATCTCAGAAGTATCTGAGAAAACCTGACAGAAATATGGCCTCAAATATCCAAGTCACTGGGGGCTGGAGATATAGCTCAGTTGGTTAGAGTGAGTACATGCCTCACATGCACAAGGCGTGGGTTCAATCCCCAGTACTGCCAAAAAAAAAAACCCCAAGTTACCCAAGAATGTCTTCAAGAAGAGCCTACTGACCCCACCCTGGTACTAGAGAAGAGCCCCTTGGTAAACAGCACCTCCATCTCTCCAGGTCAACGCTGGCTCTCAGGGGCCATCATCCATCCTTCTCCAGTACCTACCTCAGTACATGACTATTGAGAATACCACAAAATACAAACTAGAAGAACAATTTTTTTWAAAAAGCCATTTTAAATTATGATAAATCAAGGAAAGATAATGGTTCTTTATATTCTCACTAACATAACCAAACTTATTAATAAAAATTGATTGTGTTCTTTTTGAACTAGAGGATACAGGCTTTATTCAATGAAGAAACAAGTACATTTATGTCAAGAGGGATTCAGTCCAGGACTTCCCATTATACCAAATCTGAGGACATTCAAGTCCTTTATAGAGTGGAATAGTACTTATGTATAACTTCAGCACATCCTTCCATATACTTTAGATCATCTCTAAGTTACTTCTAATTCTACAATTCATTTCTATGTCAATAATGTATAGCTTTTAGACTGTATTGTTTGGGGAATAATGGTGGGGGGGAGTATGTACAAGTTCAATACAGACAGTTTTTTAAAAAAAAAAACAACAATAACAAAACATTTTCCATTCTCAGTTGAATCTACAAAGAGCTCACAAGTCTAGCAGGCCAATTTTATTCCCTCCCAACTCACTGATAGCACAGCCCAAATAAAATGCAGTACATGAAGTACTCCTCGTTTCTAAGGGAATATGTCTCTTTGGAGACCTGGAAGATACTTACCAGAAAGATCATTTAAACAAAGGCAGTATGAACTTCTGCCAGATACCTCAGGTGTCTTGTCAYTTAATAGCATTTGTTCTTTCTTAGTAAAGAGGATAATAATACTCCTGCTTAGAAATGGCTTTGAACCAAGCAATGCACCACCTCACTTGAATCCATTTTGTACCCACACCTGGGCCAGTCAGTATATGTCCAAGGGTTCATTGATGCTACTTAGTTTCGCAGAAGACTCAATCCACAGACTCTTGGAATGCTATCTTCCTTCCAAGACTAGGAGTGACAAATTCTAGCCAATTGCTGTGGCCTTTTCAATTCACTCCATCACTTGCAAAGAACTGCACAAAAGGCAGAAATATCCACTTGCCACTGCTGACCCATTATAGAAAGAGCCTGCATTATGAAATTTATACTCTGTAAAACCGATTTTGGTCTTAGAGGCATTTAATTTATTTCAGTACAATTTCAAAAACCTAGACACCATGATTATTTTAGCTCATKGGGTCCAAGGCCAGAACAATTTGGCACAGATAATTGAGGACATATTATATTTTGGCAACCCAACCCTAATAATCACAGAAAAGCAGGCACTTGTTGGAAGGAGAAACCACTTCTGTAAAGTACAAATGCGGACAGAGAATTCTAGAATTCTAGGAGATATTCAGGAACGGAACTCAGATGCTTCCTGAGACTTAATCCACCTCGCCTTCTGCAATGTCATGCTCCTTCCTGCTTAATTATTAAAAAGGGAGGAAAACTTATTCATTTTTTTCTAATGTAGTAACATAGATAGAAAATAACTACTGTGACCCAGGATTAATGAAGTTCAATATTGAATCTATGCCATCAWTTATAGTTATACTATGTCAAGGTATATTGTATGTGACTGTAAAGATAATTTTCCAGATAAATGAAGGCTTAAGACTGGAMTTCTTAAGTTAAAATGAAAGTCTAACTGACTGACATGAAAATAAACATGTAATAGATGWTTTTGGAGACAAGCAAAATAAAAACCTTGTGTTAAAGAATGGATCAAGTTGGATTAACCCAAGCAGGAAATGGCAGCGGAAATAAGAAAACCAAAGACAGTTGTAAGGAGACTACCAAGTCTGCAAGCCAACCCTGTATTTCACTGCTCCATGCCATCTGGTTTAGCTGGCATCCCTGCCTGCCAGGAATTTGAGGGCTCGAGAAGCAGCTCACAGAGCTGCCCCAAGTTGATGTGTGGGGTGTTTACTTTTAAACCGTGGCTGTCTTCTTTGACTGGTTTTAAAAATAGGCAAATATTCTAAAAGTGGAATGATGAATCACAGGAATGGGCCAAAAGGAAAGAAGGAAAATGACTCAGTTAGACGAGTAGCACAGCTGTTCCACAAACATTTGGCCGAATCATTGTAAAACATTTTGACAGTGATACTGGATCAGAGTTCCTGAGAGCAGTTAAGTTTGTTTCGACAATTCCAGAAGTACGAAGTAGTCCGTACAGTAGCTATACCGAGAGACCCCCTGGGATGTTTAGCTTAAAAACAACAAGAAAGAAAGAAAGGACGGTTGCTAGATGTGTTTATAATAGAACAAAATCATAGTGCAAGTATATTTTTTTATTAAAATTTATCTTACCCGAAGGTTATAGAGTGTCTGTTATGTGCAAAGCAGGGACTTAGACTCTATGCTAAAATGGTAAATTACCTTATATTTTTCAATGCATTAAGGAAGCAATTGGAAAGCACCTCATTCAAAACGACAATGTAGGTTTAACGGACCAAGCAAAATGTATCCTAAGGGATTTTTTTAGAGGATGAAATATTAAAGAAAGAATTAAAGAGGAATTTTTAAAATAAGCAGATGTTCACTGCTTATTTGGCAAACACTGTGTGACTAAGCCAATGGTCCTTAAGACAGAACGTTCTTGCTGGTATCCCAACCATTAWAACATACCATAGTACATTCTATGATGGGCACGTCTCAGCATCTACCAAGCAGCTGTTGGGTTGCTTCCGTGGTGATTCTGTCTTCAGATTCCCTTMAACTGTCTTCTCTTTGTTTCTCCATGGAATGGATAAAGAGGACACACTGACTCTGTGATCCAAATCCTCACTGCCATGCCACCTGAGTTATTAGAGGATGCAGAAGCCGAGAGGAAGCAAGCAATCCTCKGGCCCAGTCCTCTCAAAGCAAAGCTAAGGACAAAGACCCAAAGGGAAAGGAGCCCCCCAAGACTTCATGATTGGTGGCCATGTGAGATGAAGGGSTATCTCCCCTTTCAGGATTCTTTTTAACATGCTACTCTGCTTTTCTTCACTTTCTGGCCCATGGATTCCCAGGCTTGTATTTCATGAACCCCTGAAAATTATCCCCCAGGATTTGGAATCATGCCTCGGAGCATCCAACTTTTTATTTAGCTAGGGAAGATGATTCAAAAACAATTGCTGTACAGCCATAACATTTCTTTATGAGAGAGAACATTTTAATGCCCAGATCATAAGAATCTTGGAATAAAGGAGCATCCATTCTGGATAAATTGATTGYGAACATGAGCAAACATACCCTAAAACAACCTCACTGTCATGCCCTTTTTCTTTTTGTTTTATGAGAGAAGAAAACTTCATCAAAGTCTGACTTGGTCTGCAACSAGTGTTTGAGAACCACTGTTCTAAACAATATCTTGATTGGACAATATCTTGATTTAACTTTGGGATTGGTTATCTCCCCCTCCCACTGTGCTCATCAGCATAGRCGTAATTGGGGTCTCCATTGGGAAATTCCAGTTTAGGTTGATACACAGAAGAGACTGTACCAGGAGAGGGAGAAGCCATGCCCAGAAGACAGACCCCTGCCCACTCCACTCCCCAACTAGAATGCAAGAGGCGGCCCTGCTCAGGATCCTCTGAAGATGCCTCTATTTCCTGCAGTCAGAGCCAGCTTCATGCACACATGACCGGCAATTACACAGACCACTTTGCCCACAAGGGACCCCATGCTTGCTTTAATGCTCTGTTACAATGTCTTGAATTTTTGTAATTTTTGAGTGAGGAGCCCTGCATTTTCATCTTGCTCTGAGCCCCACAAAGTATGTAACTGGTCCTGCCTGCAGAATGACCTCTGAGTCCTGCTGTTCTAGAGACTGCCCTGCAGGGCACCAGGGACAAACTGTTGATTTAAAGGTAGATAAATGGGGTTCTG